TTTAATGATCAGGGAAATTCCAAGAAAACATAATCAATTCTGAAAAAATAAAAGCAGGTTGTAAAATATAACTGAGTTCAAATCAGTGTGAACATACTCAGTATTCTATGTTCTGCTTTTACAACATAGAATTTATAGATAAATCTCTACATATTTAAAATTTACATAGCACTGCTTAGAAATAAGAGAAGGGAATTATAAATCAAAAATAGAGAGGACCCCCTAAAAATAAATGAATCAAAAGATGAGACTCTACAATTTCAAGTAGAAATCAAAGCCACAGGTCCACAGGTGGATGGGTCCAATATGAGCCATGGGTGCAGAAGTCCCAACAGCAACCAGGACTAAGGGGCAAAACTGGACCCAGAACCATGCTGCCAGCTGTGAATAGAGTTGAAATATCTGCACCATCCACCATGAGTCACAGCCAAAAAGGATGCCCCTATCTGTGTCAAGAAGCCAAAATGAAGCTATCTACTTGAGACTAAGACCCAAGCCTGCAGCACAGGGTATGTACAGCAGAAAGAGAGATCTGACCTGAGCTGTTGATGTGAGCTCTAGTTTAAAAGCACACACCCTTAGGGAGCAGGTGAGTACATAAATCTACCTTGAAAATAAGTTACAAACAAAAATTAGAGAATATATGAGAACATCCAATGATCAGAATCACAAAATGGGAGAATTCATACCTGAAGAAACAAAGATGCTAGAAAAAGAGAAGAGATTTACATCCACAAGGTAAGAAGACTTTTTAAGAAAACAAAAAAAGGAGGAAGGTATAGAAAAGGGACTAGTTATTTATCTTGGAAATAAAATGAACCATTGTTGAGGTTAAAAACTTAACAGATAGCCCTGACCAATATGACTCAGTTGACTGGAACATCATCCAATAAGCCCAAAGGTTATGGGTTTGACCCCAGGTCAAGGCACATACCTAGGTTGCAGGTTTCTCTCTCACATCAATGTTTCTCTCCCTTCCTTCTTTTCTCTCTGAAATCAATAATCATGTCCTTGGGTAAGATTGGAAAAGAAATTTAAAAAAACTTAAGACAGAGGCGAAATAATAGACCAGACACAAATGAGAAGAGCTGGTTAACTAGGGTATAGAATTGAGGAAAACTTCCCAAACATAGCAGAGAGAAACAGAGAACTAGGGGGTGGGGAGGATGTTTAAGTTAAGATACATGGAGGATTGATGAAGAAACTACATATGAATAGAATGTTGGAGAGGAAACATCTAACAAATAATGGCTAAGATTTTTCCAGAATTAAAGCAAAACTTGAATCTTCTGACTAAGAAAGCCTACAGAGTGCAAAGTACAATAAAGACAACCATACAGACAGTATAATCCTGAATTTATAACTAAATAAATAGAGCTTGAAAGAAAATAGGCCCAAGTGTCAACAGTGTTTACTCCTGATGATAGGATTTACAGGGAGATTTTTATTTTCTTCTTTAAACTTTAATGTACTTTCTAGGTGCTCTACAATGAAAAAATGTTTTTATAAACTGTCTGTGGAAAAGGAGTATTTGTTATTTCAAATACACTTTTTTAAAAACAACCTGTCCTCAAGGTACTTATACTTTAGTAAAGGAGATGAGGCACGTATAGCATTAACCCGCATGCATAAACGTAATTAAAATCTAAGCCTTGCATTTTCCTCTATGGAGCAGTTAGAAATAAGGGGCAAAGGGATGGAGGAGGTGAGAACACTGAGCAGAAACATGAAAGTCTAGTGCATACACTTGATTTACTAGGGGCTGATACTGTAACCAGCATGTATTCCATTTAAACGAGATCAAAATGACCAAACCAAAATGTGGTTAGAACTTATCTACATAAAATGTTATTTCCACCTCTAACTTAATTATATCACAAGACCACCCACTGATAGAAGCAAAAACTAACATCTTCACTGTAAATTAAATTAACACCACAAAAAAAATCTGTCACTTGACACATTTCAATTACTATAAAACTTTGTTCTTTTTTCCCCAAGGGCCAAGTAGATTGAGAGAAAAATAAAGATAGCGGGGAAGAGTATTCAATTTAACTGATAGTCAAATTAAGTACTATTATTATCTATGGGGGCACTATCATGTTACCAATTTAGAAGCAAAAACACAGGTATGTTCTGGACTTTACCAAGTAGACATCATCTTGGGGGAGACAGAGAAGCCTTGTCAGTTTGGGGAGATTCAGACTTTGTGACCCTAACACCATTGGCACACCCAATGAAGCAAGGTGGAGTTTTAGGCAACATCCCATGACTGTTTCTTCAGACCCAAGGAAACTGTCTTCAGCATTCAGCTCCAAAAGAAACAGGTGGCAAATTCACTAGCCAACTTGATATGTTACTAATGGAAAGAAGGGCTGTTCATGTCTCAGACAGCCTCTCTCCTTTTTTTTAACACATCCAGGTGTTCCAAAATACCGCCCTTTAACCCAACTCCACTCAACATCACCTGCATATCCCACACATGGGGTCCAACATACACCCCAACATTATCTCCACTGACTTATTTGATTCCTTGCTATCAAGACCAACTTGGAAAGCCCTAACGATGAGGAGTATCCAATTTCTTTCACCACTGTTGAGCCATTGAAACCCTTCATTCCTCTCCTCTCCATCCCTCTTAAATCTCTCTCTGATCTTGACTTCTCTGAAAATGTCCTTTCTCATCTCCCTCTTGCCATTTCCTGATTCCCTGTTCTTCCTTACTTTTAAGTGGGGTCACACGCTTGTCCAATCCCCAGGAGGCAGTTACATTCCATAGGAAGGAGGATGCTTCTTCCACCAATATCCCTTGGACTTCTCAAAATTCCCTTTCTAATACCTTATTTGAGAGAGAGAAGCAGCTGCTGGCCACAGGTCAGAGCCTGACAGTCACAGTGGGGAGGGTCCCTGCATATCAGCGGGGTACTTAACTAGGAGCCCATTCTGTGTTCCTGCTGCTTTGGCTATAATCAGATGCATAAGTTAGAGCCACACAGCTGCCAGCTCAGCCCTCCCAGCCCGAGTCTCAAGCCACCTGCTTCCGTTCTGCTTTTACCAGATTTCTCCACTGAGGTGCTGGGCCCTACACAGTCCAGAATTTCACTTTCAACATGGCCACTGTTTTCTGTGGTTACTCCTTCAGTCAAAACTTCAGAAGGGAGGAGGGATTGATGATAATATTTAGATCTCAAAATCACACTCCAAGTCCCTGCTGGAAACCACTGTTCTCCTTCTTAATAACTTCATGGGAAGGCTGTCACTCCAGCTGGTCACTTGATGCACAAACTCTCTAGGCTCTGACTGGTTGCACGTTTCCATGGCTCAGGACCTCCCATGACATGAAATTTCTTGACCTTCCTGAAGGTGGGATGACAAAGTTAAAAGATAGGCTTGAGATCAGACCTTGGGACCAAAAGAATTCAGAGATCTAGATCCATCACCCACTGTGTGGTCTTGGCCAAGTCTTTAACTGCCCTATGCCTCAGTCACCTCATCAGAAAGTTACAGGCTGCTCTTGTAGACTCTAAGACCCTTTCCAGTTCTGGAGTGGCCCATATGTTGGTGGCAGGGTACAGACGTTCCCTACTTTTTTCACCCCAGAAAGGAATCCCAAAGCTGAGAGTCGGTTGGGAAAATGCTCAACCATACATAAGGAATTTTTCCAGGCCACAAACCATTTGAAATAAATGTTTAATAAGATAGTACATCAGTTGTGTACTTTTGCTGAATGTACTGCAGCCCAGGAGACCTGAAAGAATTAATACAGTTCCCAAAGGAGTTGGTGGGAATTGCTGAGGCAGAGACAGAATCTGATTTGATGAATATAAAAGTGCTTTGAGAGCATCAGAAGGAAAGTGCTACGACAAATCTGTGCTCGCTCCAGTAGGCTATCTCCTGCTACCTGAGGAACGTGCTCTAAGAAGGTCTCACTCAGGGCTGGGGACCATGGCACACAAGTACACTTAATATTTCCTTTCCTTCCTGGCCCCAGTCCCTTGCTGAGGCTTAGATAGAGGTACAGTGTCCCCACAACTCTAATCCTTCCCTTTTTTCTCACTCCTGTCTTTGCTTCTTCCTCTGTCCTTCTGACTGTCTTTTGTCCTTCTAATTCTGCACAATTCTCAAACCAGCCCTCATAACATCTCACTCAAATCTTCAAGTATCTTTCCCCTCTTCTCCCAACCCTCTCATCTGATCCACAAAAAACAAAAAACCAAAAACCTCCCTCTCATTCTAAGCTGAGAAATTTGGACATACCTTCCTTCATTCTGACACTCTCAAACTTCAGCACCAAAGCCCACCCTTGGGTGCCAATGCTTCCATCTATGGGCCTTGGAAACCCAGCCAGCTCCACCCCAGGAAGATGTGGAAAGTGTCAGGCCCTCCACGCTCTGGCTCTGCAGCCAGTTCTCCTCTCCACTCACACCCACTCCCCAGGAGGAGCTCTCTCTTGTGGCCGAAGCCCAGGGCTTCTCAAACTTTCCACCTTTCTTGTGGCTGCAGAAGCATGACATTCCCCTGTTCTTTTGTGCTTTACCTAAAAACTCTGCATTTTGTTCCACAACATACCCACATTTAATCCTTGTTGAAATAGTTTTAGTCACCACAAGAAGGAAAAAATGGACCTTTTCCACAAAACAGCCTGGTAAAATTGATATTATAAGAATGTAAGTCATGCTGTTTCAACTGGCCCCAAGCTGGCATCTTGTACACTACTTAGAAATCTCCAAGCATTCCACCACATGACCATACTTTTGTGTTTTGCGAGTCCTTCCTGGTAGACCCAAGGTGCTTCTAAATAACCCACTTTCAGACCCAAGGCAAAAAGAATTTCCACTCATTTCTGAGTTGCAGTGGTAGGACCTGGTTCTCACCAGGGTCAGTGGCCACGACCCTTTTTCACAGCAAGATAGATCCCAGGGGCTCCGGAAGACCCTTGGTGGCTGCCCTATGATTGGCACGCTCCACAGTCCTGGCAGCCCATCACCTCCTGGCCTTACCTTGTCAGCCATGATCATAGATGCGCCCCCGTGGATGCCCAGGATGGGGACGAAAGTCTGTGAGGAGATAAAATCCAGCATCTGGGCCACGGCCTCCTGGTCGGTGTCATCCCCAAACACGAGGCCGTGGATGCGCGCCCCGGACATAAGGTCGCACACATGTGTGATGAGGCTCTTCGGATCAGTGCGGTTCATCAGCAGTGCTACCACGTTCACGTCTAGGGGCAGCCCAGCTGCCTGCTCTGGGCCCCACAGGTTCCTCAGTTCACGCTCTGTCACGTCGTGGCTGTGACCCAGCAGCACCGCAATGTTCAGCGCCGGGGGACCCTTCTCCGTCGCCGCGCCCTGCGCGGGACCGCGCCAGACCAGAAGTGCCGGCAGCACCAGCAAGGTCCAATAGCCCAGTCTGCCCATAGTCGCCACTTATGGTCCCTGCAAGGTGGGGAGGGAGAGTCAAGACCGCGTTGAGCAAGGATTCCAGACGAAACTGATTGCTGCCCCTGCCCCTGCTCTACCAGCCAGGCCGAGAGCCCACCTGCGGCGCAAGCTGCCTGAGTTGCCTACTCTATTCCGGATCCCCGACGCCATCCACGTCCCTAGACCCATCTCCAACTCCATCCCCAACTCCAATCCCTGCTAATTCTCCATCCCTGGCCGTAAATACATCTTCGGATCCATCCTCCTTCTCATCCCCTATCTCCAGCTTCTTCTCCATGTCCAACTCCGCCCACACCTCCCACCACATCCACCAAGTTAGCTGCAGACCACAGCCGCCGAACGTAGGCGCGCAGAGCAAACCTTCCACCCACTCCTCTCCCACGCCGGAAGGAGCCGACCAAGTTACCAACCCCGCCCCTTGCTCGAAAGGAGCGAACTACAGACCAGCCCCTGCGTGCAGAGGCAGCGCAGTGACAAGGTAACCCTGCCCTGGCACGGGAGCGAATAGACTGACCCCGCCCCCTGCGAACTCGCAGGATGCAGCACTGACCTGGCTACCCCCAGCACCCACTGCAGACCCTGCTTCTCTCCTGTAGGGTACACCCCAAATGCAAGGGAGTGAGGACTCTCGTTTGTGTGCCCCAGGCTCTGGAGCGCCTGGGGGAACTTAGGACCCATCCTCCTCCTGCAGAGGGGCTCTGAAGCAAGCAGCCCTAGGACCCACGCCCTATACGCGCCCATACACACACATCCTCTCTCACGCGCCCCGTGTGCAATGCAGAATTCTGGAAAGGAGGCGCGTCCCCCCACGGGCCAGCATGTGAGAGTTGGCAAAAAAAAAAAAAATGCGTGGGGCTAAAGGTAGGCTCCCAAGAAGCTCTCCAACGGACGTCAACTGTACAGCGCCTCCCCAGGCTTTCCACTTCAAGTCCTGCTACCAAGTGTTAGGTGCACGTGGGCAGTGGGGCTGCACACGCTCACAGGCACGCGCGCATTTCTGCGCACACCCACAGGCCTCCCATGGCTATCCGGAGTCAGCACATGTGCTCAGGCAGTGCATACATATGCACCGCGCCAGGTGCACAGAGGCGCGTGCCTGCAAATACCAGCACAGTCGTGCACGCGGGCACAGGAGCGCGCCCTTCGGGCTGGGCGCTGCTAGCGCTAAGGGAAGTTGGGGCGAACTCGCACTTACCTCAGCGCTGCTGTGCTGCCTGCATTGCGGAGCCGCAGCGCCCCCTGGTGTTCCTCCCTCGCTTCGCTACCGATGCTCCCTCTCCCGCTTCCACTCTCCCTCTCTCGCTAGATCCTTCTACCGCTCTCGCTGGGGTTGAGTCTTCCACCTACCCATCCCGCCAAACCCAGCTCTCCCGCTGGGACGTACCTGTAGCCTGAGAAGGTCGAGGATACAGTGGGGCGCGCTGTGCGCACAAGCATCTCGGCCGCCTCAGCAGCCACCGGGTTTAGCGGGTTCCCGCATGCTGCGGCCCCCGCGAGCTCCACTGGCTGTCCCGCGCTGTCCGCATCGCCCCCACGGGGGGCGGCTATCCAAGCCGGAGGCTCTGCAGCAGGGCTCTGGGGGGGAGGGGGTGAAGAGATGGGGAGGCAGGGTCAGCCCACGGGGATCGGGACTGGGGTGGGGGGCAGGCTGCAGTCTGCAATGCTCACAGCTCCTCTACGTACACAGGGGGCTCGACCCGGGAGTGAGAGCCGGAGGTCCGTGTCTGAGACGTTCCGGACCGGTCCCTCAGACCTTGTGGCTGATAATGGAGAGCTCCGCTCCAGTGCGCAGAGGAGAACCGGAGCCCCAGTTTGGCCACCCACGAAAAGCTAACTGGGCATCTCCACCCTCACCCCCTACCACCTCCCCAGCGCCGGCTGCTGGGAGTTGTGCGTCCAGGAGCTGCTGAGTGAAGGGGGTAGGGAGAGAAAGAGAGAATGGGGGTGGGGGGATAAGGAGTGGGGGCTGGTTGAGTTTGGGATGAGCCGGCAGGATAAGAGGGGGAGGGAAGGACTCCAGGTCCCGCGTTCCCAGATCCCCGAAGGAGGTGCGATCATTCCCAACTACTCTCTTGCGGTCCTGCTGCTCCTCAGCACCAGGCCTTCCACCGTCCTCTTCCCAAAGGGGTCGCCCAGGCCCCGCGTCCCGCTCCAGCACTCACCGCAGCCTCTCTCCACATAGTTCTCAGCAGTGGCCGCTCCTGGTCATCTCCAGGGCTGATGGCTGCGGCCGTGACTCTCAGCGCTCAACCGGCTCCATACTCCGGCTAAGCCCCCGGAGCCTCCCTCAAAGAGCTGGCGCTCGGCTTTCTGCCCCACTCCTGACAGCAGCTGCCCAGTACTCTGAGTGCTCCCGAGAGACCTCTCCGCAGCCCAGGCTCCAGGCTGATGTGTGTGAGGGCGAGTGTGTGTGAGAGTGAGTGTTGAGCGCGCGCGCCTGTAGCCGGGGATCCCCGCGGTCCCTGGCCTACAGAGGCGTGGGCAGGGGAAAAACAGCTCCCTTCTAGCCCTTCGCTGCGGGGCCAGCTCTGAGCCAGGCGTTCAGCTCTCCACGTCGCGGTGGGAGTCCCGACAGCACCTGACCATCCCGGTTCACAGCACTGGGAAAGCCGGGCTCCCAGAGCGTGCTTCTGCTGCGGTCGCCTCCGAAGAAGAGGAGGAGGAGGAAAGCAGGGCGCCCCCACGCCAACTTAGGGACCTGTTCCCAGTCGGTGAGACGCAGCAGCCCCCGCGAAAGCTGTAGAGGCTTGGAGCTTCAGGGAGCGAAGGCGTCTCCCGCCCTCAGCCGCTTTCCCCGGAGGTCCTCAGAGGCAGACCCCGCATTCCCTTGGCGCTGGCGCGCAGCCACCCGCTCTCCCAGAGCGCACAGTGGAGACAAGGCCAGGATAGGTGGCTGGCTGACCGCGGAGGCGCCTGTGGCGGCGTGCCGCTCTCCGTGGTGCTGAAACCACGCTCTCAGCCCGCTCCCGGGGTGTCTGGTGCGGCTGAAGAATCAATTATTCAGAGCTCCGCTACAGTTTCCTCCTCCCCAAGTGCCTCGCGCTGAGTACAGCAATTCCCCCCTCCACGCACAAACGTGCTGACACACACACGCGCGCACACACACACACACATTCTGTTCCAATACTTCTCCCTATACCTTGCCACTCCTGCAGAGGAAACCACTTCTCTGTTCTCAGAGAGCCAGAATCCTAAAAGTAATAACTGCATCGTTATATTCCCCACTTCCTTCCTTCTTGTTTCCTAAGTTATACCAAATGAAAGTCACCCTGAGGCTGCTACTTCTAAGCCCCCAGCAAGGGCTATTCAGAAAGCATGGAACTGTCTTAGTGTGTGTGTTGGGGGCACGGGGTCGGAGGCGGGGGGGCGGTGGGCGGCGGTGGCTACCCTGAATTCTGAGGAATGGGAATGAAAAGCATTGCCAGGTGAGGACCACTGCCCCTTATACATTCAACTGTATCTCTCCTTCCAACGCCCATCTCTGCTTTTCTCTCCTCAGGCCGTGGAAGGAAAGAGGCCTTAAATTATAAGAGGTACAGTCACTGTGCTAACCCTGCATCTTCCACTTATCAGCCCGCTAACACCTTTGGGGCAGCAGTTTATCTTCCCTTTCTGATTGCAAATCTGGAAAATGGGAAGGATAGTAAAAAAATATCTACTTCTTGGTGTTATTTTGAAAAGAAAACTACATAACCTTGATAAGGGAGCCAACAAGGTCTAGCACATAGTAGGAGCTCAACAAATATGATGTCTCTTCAAGGACCTCCTTCCAAGAATGTAGCTGTGGCTACTGAGATGGAGACAGAAAGGGGCACAGTTCCTGGACACCTATGGGTTTATTATTACACTAGTTGTTGTATGTTGAGTTTTCTGGTGTTTTATTATCCAAAAGACAGAGAAAGGATGAGAGAATTATGGAAAGTAGGTGAAAATGGAGGGTTGTATGATATAAAGCAGAGAATAGGGAATTATTCCCTTTCTTGAGGCTGTAGTTGGGCTGAGCTGAGTTAGGCCCTTCTCTTATGGAGATGATCATTTCTTGGCTTGGGCCCTAATTGGGGGGCTTACAGGAAAGTTACACTGTTTTATTTAAATGAGGTATAAATTATATACAATAAAATGCACTTCTCTTAAGGATTCAGTTCAAGTTTTGAAATTGTATGCATCTGTGTAGACCATCACCTTAATTAACGTATAGAATAGTTTCATCACTCCCAGAAAGTACACCTGCGTCCCTTCATAATTCATCTCACCAACCCCCCAGGAAAAACCAGTTTTGGTTTCTAATACCCTATACTACCTTTGCTCATTTTAAACTTCATATAAACAGAATTCTACATAGTATAAATTTTTTATTGGGAGCTTTTTTTCACTTAACCTAGTGTCTGGGAGATTCATCCATGTTGCTGCAAGTAACAACAGCTTTTTCTTTTTTATTGCTGAGTAGCTTTCCATTGTATGAATTAAACACATTTTATGTACTCAGTCTTCTATTGATGGACATGTGGGTTGTATCTGTGAATATTTTAAAAATACAGATTCCTGAACCCACTTTACATCTTTTCCATGAAAATCTCCAGAGGGGCCAAGTGTGTTTATTTGTTTTAATTCCATAGACCATGCTGATGATGCCCTGGTTAATAGTCACTGCACATTCATCCTTGTATATCAATGCTGACCCTGAAATAGTCTTTGATGAAAACTATTGTTACGAAGAGTTTAAAGTTATTTGTGACCAGGCGTGTCAAAGGATAGATTAAACAGGATGTGGCCTCTTTTGAACTGAGGAGGAAGGAAGACAAACAGGGGCAACTGGAGTTGCTCTAGGCAGGACATCTCCCCATTGTGGAGAACGAGTGTTAATGTTATCATGACAACTTTACCTTCTGTTGGGCTGCAAAACTCAACCCACCACACAGCTTAGGATGCTGAGCAGGATTTTGCTATTCAAGACTTTCAGATGGAAAACCATAGCAGCTATGCTGACAAAGACTATTAAAAAAAAGTTCCTTAGTCAACACTGTTCTGTAATTTTGCCAGTTGGTTTTTACCACCAGTTATATTATTAAAGTAACTGAAATAGCCTGGTCTACTCTTAAGAAACAAATTGTGTCAGTTGCTTGCAAACCAATTGATTTATCTTTAATGCTCTACTAAGGAAAGGACTCCCATAGTTGCCACTTGCTTTGAGCCACTTAAACCCTGGTTAAAAACACCATATCATGTTCATAGGAGAGATGAAGCAATCATTGACTATGCTTCCCTTTATATGTGTATTCTGAAAGGAGAATTGTAGTATTTTGAAGCTGCAAAACTCTTAGAGACTATCCTGCTTGGCTTTCTGTCTTCAAGTAAATTTAGGGAGCTATGCCTGTCCAAATCACTTTAAGATAAATTCCTGTTTTAAAGGATCTGAGAAGTCCTGAAGTTTAAAAAATGTTTTCACAATAATCTAGCAATATTCCAAAAGAAATTGATCATGGAAACCTATTTTATTTCACATAACAGCTGCTACCATGCTACAGAGTGATTGTTTCTTTTAATGCTTTTTGAGAATTTCTGACCTAACCCTTTATTTTGCATATGGAGGGTGTAAGACTCAAGTGGGACTAATCAGCTTTAGTACTGTGAGGCAAAAGGCTAAAGGAAAAATTCAGAACAGGATCCAGAATTTTTGCTTTGAGTGTCTGCTGTGTAAAATAAAGTAGATGTATTTGCATTCTACAAGGTTATTGGGATTCCAAAGCAGTGTGATAGAATCCTGAGAGAAAGGAAGAGAGAAAAAAAAACAGTAATTTAGGATAACTGAGTAACCTGAACACCAGACTAGCTACCACCTTTAGGCATTGTTGTTCAGTGCTGATCCATCTTCCCCATCCCTCCAAATCCTAGCCTGTGGGTTCCAACTCTTGGGCGAACCATGGTCCCAGCTTTCTTGAGCTTGTCTTTAATGTACTGGCAGATAAGCAGGACTCACCTGTCCTGTGCCAAGGCAGACATCACTAACCAATTTTTGAATTATTTCTCTCAAAGTTTAAATAGAACTTCACAAGCTTGCTCAGTTGTAAGTGTTCTGGGTAACCCCATCCATTGATTGGCTCTAATTTGCCATACTTGACTTAACAAGTTCTCATAGATTCCTGATTTTAGCACAATCTGACTCTAATTGCCTATATTTCCTTTACTCTCTCTCAGATTCTAATTTCCATGTTGCCTGATTACCTTAAGGACTTTTCCCTCCTTAGACCTCAGTTTCCCCACTTGTAAAAGAAAGGTTTAGTCTAGCCGAGATGACCTCAAAGCTGTCCTCCACATTTGATGTTCTATGATTCTGTGATTTTCTTGAAGGTCTAGACCCTTGGATTAACAAAGGCACTAGTTAATCATTCCACAGTAACTTATCCAAAAGGCTACAGTTCCCTGCCTGCTCCCATGACCCATTCAGATATCAATAGTTTTAAT